TGGACTGTCCTGCACACAGAAGGTCTGTCGTTTGTTTGGGCTGACTCCACTGGTGGTCTGAGCAAGGAGACCAAGTCTGGTCTCAGCATCCTCGACAAACTCCTCTTGCTCAGTCATGGTGTCCATGGTCACACTGGTGGCGTCTCTGTTCTCATCGTGTGACACAGTGCTCTGCAGCTGACTTGCTAGTCTGTGGGCTTCCTGACACACAGCCTCCAGCTGTTCTCCCGTCAGCGGGCTCCAGGTTATGCTATGGTTCTCGAGGGGAGACGCCACATTAACGGAAACACACTTCTCTTTATGACTGACTGGACCAACAAACACCTCATCTTCATCTTCATCACCCCTAGAGCTGCAGAGCACAAGGACATTAGTGCATAAGTCACAGCAAGAGTAACAAACAGTTCACAGCAATTAAACTTTAAACATCAAGGAGCTGACTACACACAGTTTTAAAAAAATAAAGCATTTCTTAAAATAAAGCAAGAGTGATGTGGAGCAATCGTGTCATGCCGACATAACAAAAGAAGAGAAAAAGAGTTCAAGTTATTACTAAAATTAAATTTGGAGCTATAAAGGCAAAACCAAAGTAAACTTATTTTGCTTTAAATTATTAAGATATATTATGCACTTAAGTAGTTTGAATTAGAAATCACACACCCAAACAAACTTTAGAGGGATTTTTTTTTTAAACCAATAACTCAAGGCCTAATATGATACATTACAGAGCTTACATCTAAAATGGGTGATGGTATTGAGGGTATACTTAGAGAAACTTGCGTGTCCACGTCAACTGCCATCCTGCCCGGCCAGCAGGGTGACGACAATACCCATCCGCATTTTACAGTTGAGGGTTAAAATACGGAGTTCCTTGATGGTTTTTACTCAGTTAAAACTGACTTTTAAGATACCTCAGGGTGTTCAGAGTTTTGCAAAAGTTGTTGACATTCACTTAAACTTATTTACAGTTGAAGACAACGGAACTATTGGGACACATGTTGTTTTACTAATTTTATACTGTTCAATAGTTTTAATGGTTGTTTTATATTCTTGTTAATAGTTTATTACTTTGTCAATTTGACTTTTTGTGTGGGTTTGCTCAATTCAGTTTAGTTTTCATTAGCTTACATATTGTCCGTTATTATACTGTGCTGCAGATCAAATCCTGCATGTAAACCTTATTAGTGCAAGATCACATGTCAAACACGTCTTCTGGATGTTGGCAGCCGGACAATCAGAGGACGTTGTGGGAATTTAAATGCGGAAATAAAAGAAAAGTGCGTGACTGAACTCCTGGCAGTACCTCGATAGAAACTCTCTTTGATTTTTACCTGGCAGGCGACAGAGAAACATCAAAGTCAAACTTCTCATCAGGCAGAAAGAACACATCTACTGAGACACAATCAAAGTGATTAGTGATGAAACGCTTAAAAACACACGGTACGATATCTGACGGTCACTGAATGCTTACTCACCGCTGTTAGCTCGACAGTCCATCCGTAAGCTTGTTCGTCTCTGAAAACAGATCAGACGTGCAGGTTTACTATCACAATAGCCTAAAAACATTCAACTTTACACCAACACTGACAAACAGTGAAACCAGCGAATTTAGAAACGACCATTTTGACTATCATGCTAACTTTAACGTTAGCTCTTTAGCACTCCACCTATGTCAAACAATAACGGACAAGAGCGTACAACTCACAATTTAAAGATTCATTTTCGATAATTTTATGGTCCAACAATTTCCATGGAGAAAATGTTTTATTCAAGTTAAAATACAAACCTCTATTTCCTCCGAAACCTCGCAAATCTTTTTTGCTTCGCATTCAAACAGCGACGTGGAAGCAGAGAATTTCACAAATAATTCAAATCTGCTGCGCTGCGTGTCACGTGACTCATAGATGCGCCACTATTGGTTTAAAGACTATGACGGAGTCTCCGGTGGCGTCCTGGGGATTGTAGTCAAAAGCTAGCTAAAACTTGTGTCGGAACAATTTCCATTTACCATCTATGATTTTGTTTGATTTAAATTCGATTTTAAAAATTAGTATCCCAACAAAACAGCTCATATGAAAGTAATACAAATGTAATAAAAGTTTTAAAAAATGACTCTTAGCAGTTAAATTCGTTCATCTTTGTATATTTTTAAATTAAAGATGTGCATGCATTGAATAAAATGTAGATTAAAAATGCAGTTCTTTTACAGTTCTTTCATTACAAGTTCTACGGTATTCATTGGACTGCTACATAACATGTAATGGTACTCTACTGCTTTTTAAATAGAATAATAGATTACAATAATAAAATCTGTGGATGAAGACTCTCTCTTCTAAATTTGGTCTGCCTGCTAGAACCACTCATATATAGACCACAGTGATTCAAATAACCACTGCTTACAACCAAGGTGTCCAAAAGAACATCTCTGAACACAACACACACAGAAACTTGAAGCAGATGGGCTACAGCATCAAAGCACTATAGGGACCGCTCCTTTCACTTAGAACAGGAAAGTGAGGCTCATACACATGGGCTTGCCAAAAGATAAGATAAGATAAGATAAGATAAGATAAGATAAGATAAGATAAGATAAGATAAGACTTTATTGATCCCACAACGGGGAAATTTTTGCGTCACCTCAGCTCAGGTACAGATATATGAAGGAAATACAAAAATACAATTAAGTACAATCAATGAAAAAAAGTAAGATAATATACTATATACAATGGTAGCATACACAGTATGTGATTATGGATATAGTTGGAAATATGGAAGACATAAACTATATAGCTTGGAAGGTCATGGAAGGTCCATTATGCATGTCTGGTGAGCGTCAATTTCTGTGGTGACAGAAGGTGCTAGTGTAAGAACCACAACATGAAAGCATAGATCCAGCCTGGCTTGTATAAATGATTCTTGTTGGTCATGTAATGGTGTGAGGGAAAATTATCCTGGCACACTTTGGGCTCCTTAATGAGCCTCGTTTAAAAACCACAGCCAGCATCCAGCCTCAAGCAGGACTGACCGGATCTGCAAAGAGTGGTGCGCTCAGCCGAACGCATCATTCTATCAGAGCTTCCTGACCTGCTGTCCATCTACACCAAGTGGTGAAAGACTAAAGCCAGGAAGATTATGATGGACCTCTCGCATCCCAACAATGGACTCTTCTCAGTGTTGAGGTCTGGGAAGTGCTTTTGCTCCCTTAAGGCCAAAACAGAGAGAATGAGGAGGAGCTTCTTTCCCCAGGTTATTCGGGTCCTGAACCAGGTGTAGGACTGGACTCTCTCACACACATCACATCATCAAACGCACTGTTTGTTTGTTTGTTTTTTTGCACACTTCTTAAAATTTATAATTTATTTTTATTCATAATTTCTTTGGTAAACTGTTATTTGCATATTTTTACTGTAAATTACTAAGAATTTACTGTAAGTTAAAATCTGTAAATTTTGTAGTAATCTGTAAATCTTACTGTCAGTTCTTACTGTCATTTACTGGTTGGGCATTGGACAGCAATAAGCATTTCTCCACATGTCATACTGTGTATGGTTGTGTGTGTGACCAATAAAATTTGAATTTGAACAGCCTACCTGAGTTTTGTTGCTGACATACTGAAGCCCACATTTTCCTGACAAATGTAGCACCATGTAAGGGGAAATAAACAGGCTCTCCTGTATAAGAATAACAAGAATAAACAAGAAGCAACAAAGAAATAATTTTACTGTTTGTGGTAAGTTTATATTGAACAGCTGCAATAAGCTGAAGTTCTTAGACGTAAGAGCATATCGGAAAACACATTTCAGTCACTGTTTAAAGAGCAAGAGTTGTGCTGTAGCTAAATGTATTACCATTAGTGTCCACGATGACTTTGAAAACAGAATGCACTGGAAATGTACGTACATGAAAATTATACAGAGTATAAAACCATACAGATCTATTATCTCTGTAAAATTGTTTTATTTTTAGGCCATCTTTTCTTTTACAGTGAAAGTCTAGAGTTATGCATCTGATCAATATACTTTAAAGTTAAATTAAATGAAAAGTGACTGGTATCGGACTATTATGTACACTTGTGGCCTTTTAAAAAAAAAATCTGTGGTAAGCCAATATATTAGAGCAAAACATTTCTGGCACATCTTCACCTACTTCCAAGGTGGAGGGAGATAAAAGTTGTATCAGTTGTTCATCTTCCCTTAAGTGTTGCTGGAGTTCCTGCATTGTGAAGCCGATATATTAGGCACAAATGTGATGCCACCTAAAGCATGATGCAGGTACTGCACTAAAAAGCCACACACTGTTAAGGTACCATTTTTGATTTTACTTAAACACATGTACATCACATTTCAACAATAGAAATTACACAATTTAAAAAACATTACACCTATCCATACAAGAAACCATTTTATAAAAACCTCAAATCCAAAAGACACAAAAGGAGGAGAGAAAAATGTTCACAGTGACGTCAACAAGGCAAAAATCAAACCCGAGCAAAAACAGGACACACTGAAAGAAAGTCAGGAAACTATTTTTAAAGAGTACTTGGCTGAGGCATGATGGTATTAGCAAGTGGCATCCAAAAAAAAAAAAAAAAAACCCACAAAAGAAAAAACATTTGGAAATTAAAGTGAGATCAAACTAAAGTAAGTGAAGCTGTCTACTTCATGTGCAATTTTATTTTTTAAAATTTGTCAGAATTTATATTTAAAAGAACATCTTATTTTGGAGAGTTTATTTTTTGCCAATGAAT